CTCAATATTACCAACATAGTCAGTCTAGTTTCATCTACATCCTTTACTCATCCCCACATGTTATACAATTTTACCTGTAAATAATTCACTATGTTAACCTCTTTTTTAAAAATTTAAAAATTTAGAGCTACTTACATTTTTTAAAAATTTCCAATTACAGTTGACATACAATATTATATTAGTTGCAGGTGTAAAACAGAGTGATTAGACATTCATATATCTTACGAAGTGATCATCCTGATAAGTCTAGTACTATACATTGTTGTTACAATAGTATTGACTCTATTCCTCATGCTATACTTCACATTCCCATGACTGGCAATTTGTACTTCCTAATCCCTTCACATTTTTCACCCGTCCCCAACACCACTTCCATCTGACGATCATCAATTTGTTCTCTGTATCTATGAGTTTGTTCTGTTTTGTTTGTTCACTTATTTTGTTTTTTTAGATTTCACTTACCAGGTATAAGTGAAATCCTGTGATATTTGTCTTTCTCTGTCTGACTTATTTTACTTAGATTAATACTCTCTAGGTCCACCCATGTTGTTACAAATGGCAAGATTTCATTTTTTATGGCTGAGTAATATTCCATTGTATATAGAATGTACCACTTCTTTTTTTTAGGAGGTACAATTTTTAAAAAACATTTTTATTGATTTTAGAGAGACCACTTATTTATCCATTCATCTATTAATAGGCACTTAGGTTACTTCCATATCTTGGTTAATGTAAATAATGCTGCAGTGAACATAGGAGTGCATGTATCTATCTTTTTTTTTAATCCTCACCCAAGGATATTTATTCCATTGATTGATTTTTAGAGAGTGGAAGGAACGGAGGGAGACAGAGAGAGAGAAAGAGAGAAACATCAATGTGAGAGAGAAACATCGATCAGTTGCCTCCTGTACATGCCCTGACCAGGGATCGAACCCTCAACCTAGTTATGTGCTCTGATGGGGAATTGAACCCACCACCTCCCGGTGTATGGGTTTACCTTCTGGTGGCTCTAACCAACTGACCACACCAGCTAGGGCTACATGAGTTCTTTATAAATTTAGATATTAACCCCTTATCAGATGTATCATTGGTGAATATCTTCTCCCATTCAGTAGGTTGTCATTTCATTTTGTTGATGGTTTCCATTGTTATGCAAAAACTATTTAGTTTGATGTAGCCCCATTGTGTATTTTTCTTTTGTTTCCCTTGCCCAAAGAGTTATATCCAAAAAATATTACTAAGAGGGATATCAAAAATGCTTACTTTTTCTTCTAGGAGTTTTATGTTTTGGGGTCTTATATTTAAGTCTTTAAACCATTTTTGGTTTGTTTTTTTAATATATGTTTTTATTGATTTTAGAGAGGAAGGGAGGCGGGGCGGGGAAGATAGAAACATCAATGATGAGAGAGAATCATTGATCAGCTGCCTCCGCACACCCCCAACTGGGGATCGAGCCTTCAACCCAGGCATGTGTCCTTAACCGGAATCAAACCTGGGACCCTTCAGTCCCCAGGCCAACGCTCTATCCATGGAGCCAAATCAGCTAGGGCATCTTTAAACCATTTTGAATTTCTTCTTGTATATGGTGTAAGACAATTATCTAGTCTCATTCTTTTGCATGAATCTACCCAGTTTTCCTAGCACCATTTATTGAAGAGACTGTTTTTACCCCATTACATATTTTTGTCTCCTTTGTCATAGATTCATTGACTATATAGGTATGGGTTGATTTCCGGGCTCTCTCTTCTGTTCCATTGATCTATATATGTCTGTTTTTATGCCAGTACTATTTTGTTTTGATAACTATAGCCTTGTAGTATAGTTTGATATCAGATAGAGGGAGGGAGAGAGAGAGAGATAGAAACATCAATGTGAGAGTGCATCATGGATTAGCTGTCTCCTGCATGCCACTACTGGGGGATTGAACCTGCAACCCAGGCATATGCCCTTGACTGGGAATTGAACCAACAACCTCCTGGTGCACAGGACAATGACTAATCAACTGAGCCACACCAGCCAGGGTCTCACTGAATCATCTTTAAAATGTTATGCTAAGTGAAAGAAGCCGAACACAAAGGCACCAGATTTATGATTCCATGTATATTAAATTGTAGAGAGCACCCGGGAAGGCACATGAGCTGATTGTCAGCTGAGTCCAGTGGCATTGGCAGAGCCACATCCTGGAAACATACCTTGCCAGAGGCAGGTATGTTGTCAGCCTGACCTTTAGCTCAGGTGCCAGGGGGTGGGTTTCATTATCTAAGTTCAGCCAGGTGTCAGGAACGGATGCAATTATCTGGGCTCAGCCAGGAGTGACAATTACAAAGAAACCAAAAAAATGAAGAATTGCAGCTTGACCTTTAACCATGATTTCCCATAATTTCCTTTGTCTTAAACTCTAGTAAAACTTCCTGGTATCATGCTGTATATAATAAGCGCGCTGCACTAGCTCTGGGTCACTGTCTCTCTACCCGAGGTCAGCGTCCCACTTGGCCCCAGATTTCCCTACTGTCTCTGTGTCTATCTCTTTCTTTTTCTCAATCCCCAGCCACCCCTACTCAGGACTCATCCACTCTCTAGCTGCGCTGGTCGAGGCCAAGAGAGAAAACTTATATCTGGCGCCCAAACAGGGACCTGAGTACAGGGGAACTCTCAAAAGTCAGGCGAGGGGACAGCTCTGAGAAGTGCACCCCACAACAAATTCAAGAAGTAAGGTAAGGAGCGGATTGTAGTATTAGCTGGGTGTAAAACATGGGAAATTCAGGGTCTCAGGAAAGAGATCTCTACTCTCAAATGCTTAAAACTATGCTCAAAGCTTGAGAATGCTCTGTTAAGCATAGTCACATTCTTAATTTCTTAAGTTTTGTTAATGAAACTTGCCCTTGGTTTCCTGAAGAGGGAACCGTCAACTTTCAAACCTGGGAAAAGGTTGGAAAGCAGTTGCGTGACCGATACACAGCAGAAGGTCCAGAGAAAATTCCTATTTCTACATTCACACTATGGTCTTTAATTCGTGATTGCCTTGATCCAGCGCAGGAGAGTTTAAGAATGTCTAAGCAGGGTGTGGCCATGGCTTTACAGCCTACACTAGAGGGGTGCGAATCTCTAAAAACACCACTTCCCCCCTCTGCGCCACCTCCTCCTCCGCCTGCTGCTCCTGCGACTGCAGTCAAGAGCCCGCCTGATAAAAACTTACCTCCTAAATATGATCGGGAGCTAGAGTTTGAGGCGGAGTGGGACAAGAGTCACCATGATTGGGGTGACTCAGATGATAAGATTTTGCTTGCAGCCACCCAGCCTTTATGGGGAGCAGGCCTAAGGTGTCAGTCAGACATCCCCTGAGGGCTCCCGGACTGGGAGGGGGTGCAGGTTGGGCTGAGGGACCCTGCCCCCTTGAGTGCACAAATTTCGTGCATTGGGCATCTAGTACACTATAAAATGATTAAAATTGTAAATTTTACCACAAATTTTAAAGACTCAATGTAATTTACCAAGTTAACAAACCAAAAGAGAAAAACTATATGATCATCTCAATGCAGAAAAAGCCTTTGACTAAATTCAACGTCGATTCCTAATAAAAAAAAAAAAAAAAACTCTCAGCAAACTAAAAATTGAAAGGAACTTCCTCAACTTGATCAAGGACAGCTCTGAAAAACCTTCAGCTAACATTAAATATAATAATGAAAGACTGAATATTCTTCCTCTAATATAGAAATAAGACAAGGATGTCAGCTTTCACAACTTCTACTCAACATCGTACTATTGGTTCTAGCCGGTGTAATAAAGAAAAAACAGAGACATTCGGGGTGGGGTAGGGGGACAGAGGCAGAGAGAGAGCGCGCAAAAGGGAATCCAGATATAAAAGGAAGAGGTAAAACTACATATACACACAACATGATTGTCTTATGTAGAAATCCATCTCTTCCATTCTCTATAAAAAAGCTACCAGAACTAATATGTGTGTTTAGCAAGGTCATAAGACGTAAATCAGCGTACAATAGAATTGTATTTTTTTATTGATTTTTTTAGAGAGAGAGGGAGGGAGATAGAAACAGCTAGAAACATCGATGACAGAGAAACATTGATTGGCTGCCTCCTGCACTCACCCCACCCCCCTACTGGGGGTAGGGCTCGCAACCCAGGCATGTGCCCTGACCAGGAATCGAACTGGTGACCTCTTTGTGCATGGACGACACTCAACTGAGCCACACCAGCCAGACTATGAATTGTATTTTTATTTATTAGCAGTGACCAAGAGGAAAAGTGAAATTTTAAAATGCCATTTACAATAGCATCAAAATATAAGTATCTAGAAATAAATCTAACAAATGATATGAAAGATTCATACCCTAAAATCTACAAAATATTGCTGAAATTCAAGAAAATCTTAAAAAATGGAGAAATAAAAAAAAATGGAGAAATATACCTTGTTCATGGATTAGAAGACTCAATATTGCCCAGCTTGTGGCTCAATTCCCCAGTAGGGAGTGTGTAAGAGGCAGCCAATTGATGATTCTTTCTCATCATTGATGTTTCTATCGCTCTCTCCCTCTCCCTTCCTCTCTCTGAAATCTATAAACACACACACACACACACACACACACACACACACACACACATTGTGATTCAATTAGCTGGCTGTAAATTGCTCTGATTGTTTTGCCTTATTTAATTATATTGTCTGTTTTCTTTATTTATTCTACTTGTCAAGGAATCTCTCTAGCCTCTTAATATCCTGCCTCATTATCACTAGACTAGAGGCCTAGTGCACGAATTTGTGCATGGGTGGGGTTCCTCAGCCTGGTTGGTTATCAGGGGCAATCAGGGCTGATTGGGGCCAGCTGGGGGGGGGGGGGGAGGCAGGGAGACCGCAAGAGGTTGACTGGCCATGGGAGGTTGGCTGTGGGAGCACACTGACCACCAGGGGGCAGCTCCTGTGTCGAGTGTCTGCCCCCTGGTGGTCAGTGTGCATCATAGCAATCAGTCATAAAGGTCACTTTGGCATTTACATATATAGATGATATTTTACCTGCTTACTGTTTCTCTCCCAGCTATGCCTTCCATGAAGGAAACAGAGACCAGGTTGATTTGACCTACCACTGAATCCCTTGTGCTGAGAACTGCACTGGGCACAGAGTACAAGGTCTGTAAATACTGGGCCTGGATAGGTCCTTAGAGCAAAGGCCTCATGTATGGGAATTAAGCCATGGAAACTAAAGAGGGAAATACAGCTCATGTCTGTGGGATAGAGAGGGTTGGTCTTTAATTAAAGCATCTCAAATTGGTACATAAAAGGGCCACTGATTTTTGGACAATGAAGAAAATATGCTGATAACAATTGTCCTTTAAAGTGGAGATATTTTGCCCTAGCTGCTTTGGCTCAGTGGATAGAATGTCGGCTTGCAGACTGAAGGGTCCCGGGTTCAATTCCAGTCAAGGGCATGTACCTCGGTTGCAGGCTCTTTCCCAGCCCAGGCCCTGGTAAAGGTGTGTGCAGGAGGCAATCAATCAATGTGTTTCTCTCACATTGATATTTCTGTCTTTCCCTCTCTCTTCCATTTTCTCTAAAAATCAATGAAATAATATTCTCAGGTGAGGATTTAAAAAATAAAATAATAAGGTGGAGATATTTTATTGCTCTTTTAAAACTCCATGTTCATTCAAAAAAAGGAAAAAAAATTAAACCCATGTTCATAAACAAAATTTCCATGATTTGTGAACTGTGAACAAGTTCAAACAACACCTTGGCAGGATGGGAAAGGGGGAAAAGCAGATCTATTTACAGATGGTTTAAGTAACCTAGATGCATTTAAATTTTCCCCATAATCTTAGAGCATGTGTCCCATGCTGTTACCTGAAAGGCAATATTTTATTGCTCTTATAAAACTCCATGTTCATTCAAAAAAAGGAAAAAAAATTAAACCCATGTTCATAAACAAAATTTCCATGATTTGTGAACTGTGAACAAGTTCAAACAACACCTTGGCAGGATGGGAAAGGGGGAAAAGCAGATCTATTTACAGATGGTTTAAGTAACCTAGATGCATTTAAATTTTCCCCATAATCTTAGAGCATGTGTCCCATGCTGTTACCTGAAAGGCACTGTGCCTGAGCGGGTCTGCCTCAGGCCGGCCTGTAGTGTGCGTGTTCTTGACTTGGGGCAGGAAAGTTTTCACAAAACGGGTCCAGGTGGTTTTGAAAGTGTGGTAGGCAGTTAGACAAGAGCAGATCAAGGACGATGTGCCAGGTACAGAAGGTCACCTGGGTAAAAAGCCCTGGGTGCCTGGCAAAGGACATTGTAGGGTGGGAACTTCGCCACCAGGGTGACCTTTCCTCTCCTAGCATGGCTGGTCCTGCAGTTTGGATCCCCTGACCTTTCCTCCCCAGAGATAACATCTAGGCCTCAGTTGTATTTCAGCTCCAGGCCCAGAAAAACAGCAAAAGCAGATAAGAAACACCAGGGCTGACCCCAGGACCAGCTGCACTGAATAATGACCCCTGTCTTGGCACCAACCAATCAATCAGTGGAGACCTAGACCCTGAAAGGACACACCTGGAAAACTGCTGAACATTCTACTGAGATCTTCCCCTGGGACCTTCCCTAAAATCTTCACCCTTAAAACCCTTAGGACTGCCCTAGCCGGCTTGGCTCAGTGGATAGAGTATCAGCCTGCGGACTGAAGGGTCCCAGGTTCGATTCCGGCCAAGGGCACATGCCTGGGTTGCGGGCTCGATCCTCAGTGGGGGGTGTGCAGGAGGCAGCCGATCGGTGATTCTCTCTCATCATTGATGTTTCTATCTCTCTCTCCTTCTCCCTTCCTCTCTGAAATCAATAAATATATTAAAAAAAAAAAACCCTTAGGAAAAAGGACCCAGCATGCTCTCCCTCCAGGGAGAACACCCTCGCCTTTCCTTTTCTCCTCCCCCTCCTCCCAGATGTGTTACCAAGGGCCCTTCCTTTGCCTCTGTAACTTGTTTCCTAAGCCCATTTCTTCTACAAATTACTTCTATCTCTGTGATTTTCCAAATAAACGTTCTCTTATAGTTTGAGTCTTGGCTCTGAATTCTTTCCTAGCCAGAATTCAGGCACTGAGGTTGCTGAACCCAGGTCTGGTCTGACCCCACCGGTTTAACACCTGGTACTGTTCCAGCCATACAACTAAAGTACATTTACTAAATTAAAGCTGGGGATCAGTGAAGCAAGCAAGAGCTTAGGACAGAAGAAGCAATAGGAGAGAGCTTAGGCCGGACTGCTTTGGCTGAGAAATAAAAGTCAGAGTAAAGAAGTGAGCTAAGGCAGGGCTGCTGACAGCTCATTCTATCTCTCTCCCTCTCCCTTCCTCTCTCTGATATCAATACACATACACACACACACATTGTCATTTTATTTATTTTTTATTTTTATTTTAAATATATTTTATTGATTTTTTACAGAGAGGAAGGGAGAGAGGGATAGAGAGTTATAATTATCGATGAGAGAGAAACATCTATCAGCTGCCTCCTGCACACCCCTTACTGGGGATGTGCCTGCAACCAAGGTACATGCCCTTGACTGGAATCAAACCTGGGACCCTTGAGTCCGCAGGCCGACGCTCTATCCACTGAGCCAAACTGGTGAGGGCCATTTTATTTATTTTTTAAATAGGCAAGCCAGGCGCTCTCCCTCTTGGGAGCATGCCTGTACCTTTCTTCCCCTACAGGTGTGCATCTCCTAAAGCTAAGGGTCCCCACACGACTTGCGACCAGAGGAGCAATGGGCAGCAGCAGCCTGTCCTGGATTAACCCCCTAAACCTGTCTCCAAGGCCCCTTTTCTCTGACTTTGCAGTGAGCCAAAGCAGCTCCGCCCAGTCTCACACTCCTGTTGCTCCTTCTATCCTTGTTTCAATGTCCCAGCTTTCATAAACGTGCTCTCTCTCTTTTTAATGTTTTTATTGATTTTTTAATTTAAATTCTTTATTGTTTAAAGTATTACATAAGTCTCCTTTTCCCCCCCCATTGACTTCTCTCCAGCTGCCCTCACCCCCCAGCACATGCCTCACCCCCCCTTATAGATTTTTAAAAATATATATATTTTATTGATTTTTTACAGAGAGGAAGGGAGAGGGATAGAGAGTTAGAAACATCGACTAGAGAGAAACATCGATCAGCTGCCTCCTGCATGCCCCCGAATGGGGATGTGCCCACAACCAAGGTACATGTCCTTGACCGGAATCGAACCTGGGACCCTTAGTCCACAGGCTGATGCTCTATCCACTGAGCCAAACCAGTTAGGACTAGATTTTTTTTTTTTAAAGAAAGGAAGCGAGAGGGATAGAGGGATGGAAACATCAATGAGAGAGAAACATTGATAAGCTGCCTCCTGCACATCCTTTATTAGGGACTGAGCCCATAACCCGGGCATGTGCCCTGACTGGAAATCCACCTGGTGACCTCTTGGTTCATGGGTCAATGCTCAACCACTGAGCCATACCACCTGGGCTTTCTCTCTTTAAAAATTTTTTTTTATTGATTGCTTTTATAGAGAGGAAGGGAGAGAGAGAGAAACATTGATGTGAGAGAAACATCGATGGGTTGCCTCTCATAGGCACCCCGACCGAAGATCAAACCCTGAAACCTAGGTATGTACCTTTATCTGGAATTAAACCCAAAACCTTTTGGTGTACAGGACGATGCTCCACCGAGCCACAGGGCAGTTATTACCATTTCAAAATGGGGAGATTTGCCCTAGCCAGTTTGGCTCAATGGATAGAGCATCAGCCTGGGGACTGAAGGGTCTTGGGTCAGATTCTGGTCAAGGGCACAGACCTCGGTTGCACGTGTGGGAGGCAACCAATAGATGTGTCTCTCTCACATAGATGTTTCTTTCTCTCTGTCTCTCTCCCTTCCTTACACTCTCTCTAAAAATCAATGAAAAAATATCCTTGGGTGAGAATTAACAACAACAACAAAAATAATAAAATGGAGAGATTTCACATACAGATCCAAATTTGTAGGCACTCTCTAAAAATGAGAAGTTCAGACAATACTGGTCTTACACGGAAGCCATCAGCTACACCTAAAAACAGAAACCACCTTTGCACAGGAAAAGGACTTTCCAGTTTGCCATTTTGCATGCTCCGCAGTGAGGCAAATTCCTAATTGTGAAGTGAAAAAAAGTAAAATATTTCTTATAACTATGTCTTTACTCAAAGACGAAAACAGAAATGTAGACCAAGAAAGTGCATGTGTCTTTGAGAACTTGAAAAACATTCAATGGTGTTGAAAGCTTACATCTTAAATCAGAATTAAGCAACAACCCCAGAGGGCATCTGACTTTGCCATCCCTCCCCTCGTTTGTCTGAATACAGCATTATTGGAGACGTTGAACAGTAACACAGTCTCCCCTGAGCTCTGAGTTGATGTAATAAATTATTTAAAGTCACAGTTATTTCCTTCCAATGTAAGAAAAATTCCAGGACATTGTCGTGAAGTTTGGGCAGACCTGGTAATGGTGGTGGTGGTGGTGGTGGTGGGGGAGGCTTATAATCTGATAGATAGAGCACCTGAGTTAACTGAAAGATAATCATATTATTGTGAAATTCTGAAGTACATATACATATAGGAACAGAGGGTTACGTTATTTTTTAAGTTTTTTTTAAATTTTTTTATTTTCTAAGTTTCATTTCTCAGGCCAGTGCACCTGCATACTCCCTTTGATCCTGAACAAAGTGATGGAGGAGGTGATTCAGCTGTGGACAATGTATACTGTACCCAGCAAGCAAGTAGAACTGTTAAGCATGACCAGGCCGACCCCACCAGGAGCCAAGCCGTCATCTCGTTGCCTGACAACCAAGAGCAATGGCTGACGTCTGCTGACGTCTAGGACTGCATGCAATTGCATTCTGTTCCCAACCTCACCCCAGCCCATTTGCCTATATAATCCTGTCCCCTGCACCTTACTGTAAGACAGCTTTTGGATGCTCTAAGCTCCCTGTCTTCTTGGCTGGCTGGCCTTCTCAATAAGCGCCTTGCCTTATATGATTCAACCCTGTCTTCCTCATTGGACATTTTGAAAGGCAGCCTGAGCCCACCCGGGGGGTTCCCGGTAACAGTAAGACCTGATACAGGCCTGAAAGGAAGAAGTAACCCAAACGGAAGTCCTTCCACATCCTTTAATGTGCTTCTCACAGGACTTCAGCTTTCAAAGCACCTTCTGTCCTTCCTGTCTCACCTGGTCAGTCCGGTGAGGTGGGCAGGGGTGGGATTCTGCAGCAGGGGAGAATACTGGGGCCTTGCTAATAGTCACAGGGAGAGTCTCTGAAAAAGTGTGCCCCAGAACCCGGCCGCTCTGCCTCCCCAAGGATGGTGGCAAGAGGAGGCAGATGGCAGGAGAAAAGAAGTGAAAATGCAAAAGGGAGCTCCACAGGGAGGTGGCAGGTCGGAACAAACAAGGGCAGTCATTGCGGGGTGTGGTGAAGGCCTTGCAAAGGGTGAGGTTTGCATCCAAGGAGAAGCACTGAGGCGCCACGTCGGGGGCTGTCAGGGCACCTCACCCCACCACGGCGAAACGGAGCCCAGAGCGAAGATGATTTGCACGCTGCCTGGTGGCCACTAGTACCTGAACCCTAAGGATCTTCCTTCTGTTGGTCTCGGGGAGGATGGGGCAGGGGACAGGAGACTCCAGGCCCATTGAAACCTGTAAAGAATTTTTGTGAGTTTATTTGAGCCAAACTGTCGACATATGCCGGGAAGCAGAACCTCAAGGAATTGAGATAATGCTCCGGAGAATGGCAGGGTTACGTTTGTATTTATACATTGCAATCAAAGGAGGGACATAGGTGGGTTACATGAAATTCATTGGTGATAGATTAAGGAGGAGGGATAAAGCAAAGCAGGGAAACCCCTGGGATTGGATAAAAAGTAAAATGATGGACACATACTTAGGTGGGTGCAGGATCAATTAACATGATAATGAAGGAATTTGTGGTATCTGTCCTGGCGCCCAGCACATTTGGTTGTGCCCCAGGGGCTCCAGAAAAAGGCAAGTTACAAGTTACCCAGACACTTCAAGGGTGTGTTATCATAGATGCAAAAAGACAGATAGGCTCAGTTAAGGTAAAGGTTGACCTTGTCAGTGAAGGTACTGGCCTAGGATGTAACTGCCCACCATAACTGCTTTAGTTAGAGTTTAATTTCAGACCATCCTTTGTGGTTACTTTAGGTCTCTGAGTTTGCAAGACCGCCATGCAGGCCTCCCCTGAGCTTGTCAGGTCAGCATGTGGCCCCTTTCGTTCACAACCGAAAGCTTTGCCCAAGGCTGGTAGCGCCATTAAACATCAAAGACCCAGGTCGCCAAGTCCAAACAATCTTAGCGAGCGACTTCAAAGCTGAGATGTTCCCGCCTGGAAAGCGGCGTGGGAAATCCCGGCCAGTATTCAGAGACTGTAGGAACCTCCCCAGAGATGATCAGGATCTTCAGGAAATGCCAGAGCAGGTATCAAACATCAAACGGCCAATATTTTGGCAAGTCCACAATTTCCTAAAATAACATTCAGGAATAGCGCATGGTTAAGGTACAGCGGAAAACAGCCGAGTGGCTTTCGGGAACGTCCGGAACTTCTCGATCCGCATTCGGGACTTCTCGGCTCTTTGGGATCTTCAGGAGTCTTAGTTTCCTAGCTGATCCGGTTCTTGGACGAAATCCTGAGGAAGGGTACCGACAGTCCCTCGGCAATTTCCGTAAGTATTCGGGATCTGCCCGAGAGTGGCGCCCTCTGGCGGCGCGAAGGATCACGATCACTACCACCACTACCCCGGCTAAGCCAGCCCGCGCAGGCGCAGTTGCGCGTCGGCTGCCGTTCCGACCGGACGTAGTTGCTGCTGAGATCAGTTCCGGCGGGTGACGGTGCGGACGGGTCAGAAGCGTAGAGGCGGCGGCAAAATGGCGGCGCCTGAGGAACAGGATCTAACCCAGGAGCAGACAGAGAAGCTGCTGCAGTTTCAGGTAGCAGCGAGTACTCGGCGCAGCACATGCCGCCGCGGGCTGGGGAGTGGGCCTCCAGAGGAGCCCAGAACCCTCCTGAAGTTGGGCGCGAGGTTCGCAGACCAGCAGGCGGCCCCCTCCCCCCAGACGCCAACTGCCCCGCTGCCCCGAGCCTGTCTGTGGCCGGCCTTCCAGCGGCGGCAGCTGCCAGACCCGCCTCCCCCTCTCCAGCTTCCCTGGGGTCCTTTAGGGGCGCCGGTCTTCAGACATCCTTCCCAGATCGGGTCCTCTCCGCCCGGCGACTCTGGATCTACCGCGGATGCTTAATCCCCACCGTGGGGTTGGCCTCGTTTCGGGTCCCTGGAAATGCTGCCGGCACCCCATGCTGCTTGCATACACATGTACTGAGGGCTTCTTGGGTGCCAAGGCTTGTGTGGGGCGACCTGGTGGGGGAAGGGCAGGCCTGGCCCCCGCCCTGAAGGTGTGGGAGGACCCCGCGTTGTTCGGAAACAAATGCAACATCATAAATGTCATCAGCGGCCCCGGGCGAGGGGTGGTGCCCTCGGGCCGTCCCCGGACTCACGTGCGTGACCGAGCCCAGGAGGGTGGTAACTTGCAGGAGTCGGCCTTCTTTGAAAGGGGGTGTGGGGCTCAGAACTTGGGCTCAAATAAGCCCTTATGTCTGAGCTGGAGAGTCTGGGGGGAGGAGACCCCTAGGGTGGGTAACCTTGACTCTTGGTTACTCTGGTCGATACCAGGTTCCTTATGTATATAAAATACATGTTTTAAAAACGTTTACCCCCTAGTGATACTGTGGAAATCAAATCAGAAGGGCTGTCTGAAGGGCTTTGTAAAACGTAAAAATGCTCCCAAACAGTATTACTGCTTATTAATCATTTTTCTGACTTAGGGGAGAATTAAAGTTAGTGGCACACTTATTTCCTAATGTAAAATGTGCTATATATTTATTCATGTCAGCAGTTACCAGGAACCTTAGTGCTCAGGTCCTCCCAAGTTAAAATGCCATTTATTTATTATTTATTTTTTTAAAATATATTTTATTGATTTTTTACAGAGAGGAAGGGAGAGAGATAGAGAGAAACGTCGATGAGAAACACCGATCAGCTGCCTCCTGCACACTCCCCACTGGGATGTGCCCGCAACCCAGGTACATGCCCTTGACCGGAATCGAACCTGGGACCCTTCAGTCCGCAGACTGACGCTCTATCCACTGAGCCAAGCCGGTTAGGGCGCCATGTATTTATTGAGTATGATGTTGTAAGTACTTGGCTAAACACCGAGCACACGTTATCGGATTTAATACCCTATGAGATTCGTACTGTTACAGTCCCTGTTTTACAGATGAAGGATATGAGACTTAAGAAGGAAGGTGCTCAGGTGGTTACACAGCTAGTAAGTGGTGGTGTGAGATTTAAGACCAAGTCTGTCTTTTCAGAACCTTCCTGAGCCCTTGACTGGTGTGCCATACAACCTGTGTATCACCGATAGTGGAATGCAAATGCTGTGATTTGTCTTTTTTATTTTAGCAAGTTCTCACTTTTCCAAAATTTCCTTGGTTAGATTTCACTGTAGTTAATTTTGGAGGTTTTTTTTTTTTCTCCTCTTAAATTGATCAGTGGCACCGGAAACTAACAGGATTTTGTGTGTTTATTATACATCAACTTAAAAAGTTGAGCAGTGGGTTGGAACTGTATAAAATGGAAAAATACTATCATAGAAGTTAGTTGATATTTAATTGGAGTTGTGAGTAGAGAAACTGATGACACAGCAAATTAGAATCAGAATGAATACACAGCTTCCATTTCCTGGTAGACCACTAATTTCAGAGTTTTGTTTAACTTTGGCAGACCATTTTACCCCCTACAGCGCTTCAGGGTTATCCCATGGTGTTTAAATGTAATGAAGTGATGTGAGTCATGGTGTACTATTCTGGTCCTGGAAGAACATGAATATGTGGTAGCATTTCTGAAGTAAAGCGCATAGCAACCTCTGTTTTTGTCTTCATTGGACATCTATAGCAGTACGAGGTGAATAGCACATTAAAGTTGTATTAAGACCGCTTTATGAAATTGGATATACTAAGGCAAATGTCTATGACATTTATGTGTTCTTTAAGTAGTTTCTGGATCAGTTTCATCATCTAGATTGCCATTATACATTCTTTGGAACTTACTAGGTGTCAGGCATTATGCCAGGTATTTGATATACATGAACTCTTTTAAACGTCTTAATAATATTGTAAGGTGTTAACGTCCATTCAACTTATTTTTTAAAAATATATTTTTATTGATTTCAGAGAGGAAGAGAGAGAGATTTAGAAACATCAATGATGAGAGAGAATATTTGATCGGCTGCCTCCTGCATAGCCCCTACTGGGGATTGAGCTCGCAACCTGGGCGTATGCCCTTGACCGGAATTGAACTTGGGACCCTTCAGTCTGCAGGCGGACACTCTATCCACTGAGCCAAACCAGCTAGGGCCCATTCAACTTATTGATGAAGAAACAGGTTCTGAGAGGTAAAGTAACTTACCCAAGTAGTAAGTGGCAGAGATTTAGAAGTCCATACCCATAACCATCGTATCTATAATCTAATGGAGAAGCCAGATACATATATGAATGAGTATCCTGCAGTTTGTTAATGCTAATAGTGTGGTACTGTATAGACCAGGGGTGGGCAAACTTTTTGACTCGAGGGCCACAATGGGTTCTTAAACTGGACCGGAGGGCCGGAACAAAAGCATGGATGGAGTGTTTGTGTGAACTAATATAAATTCAAAGTAAACATCATTACATAAAAGGGTAGGGTCTTTTTTTTTTTTTAGTTTTATTCATTTCAATCCGGCCCGAGGGCCGTAGTTTGCCCACGGCTGGTATAGACAGTGCTGTGGGAATTTAGGAAAAGGATAGGAGGGGGAGAGAAGGATGGCCCTTAGGCATGGTGCTTGTGACTAGTTTATAACCATTATGCTTAATCCTCCCAGTAGCCTTACAGAGCGCCATAGCTGGTATGCCTGCTCCTAGGTGAAAAAACAGATCTATTGAAGTATTTGCGTAAGGTCATTAAGGTATTAAGTAGTGGAAATGGAATTAGAGTTAGAAATCTAGTGGGTCTGGATCTGGACTTCAAGTCTGGGCTCTCCACTGTACTTTGCTACTTTGAAGGAGGAATAGAATTTCAATAGGTGGTGGAGAGGAGGCTGTTCAACGGGGATGAAACAGCTTAAGCATGGGATGGAGGTGGAGTATAGAGTGTGTTTGTGATGGATTTAGAGAATTGGAAGTGGAAAATAAGACTGGGAAGATAGAGGTACGGCCTCCCAAAATCTTTAAAAGCTGTGCACAATGGTTTAAATTTTAAGGTGTAGGTGTGGGGAGCCATCAAAAGTTTTTCAACTAGGGTGTGACATAACACTAGGTTTCAGGTTGCTTCACTAACAAACCATATGGAGCATGTGCTTGAAATTTCCACCGGGTTCAGGACAGAACAGGGTGACACTGCTAGGAGCTAGTTCTCCCCCCACCATCCCCCTACCCTGGGTTTATTTGTACAAATAGCACAGGAGGCAGCAGCTCCATGCAGACAGCAGCCCAGGGGTCACACCACCCCTTCCGTCCTCACATTGACTGACAGAGGCCAGTACTGTGGAGCTGTGGTGGGGCCTGGGCTGCAGCTTGGAAACCACATCCTGGGGCTTGGTTTGAACCTTGTCCTTGGACTTGGACTTGCAGAGTCTGAGACTCTTGGTGATGTGGGCAGGAGCACATTTCCCAAGCTTGGGGTCAGTGATGTAGGCAAGCTGATGGAACTTGTGGCTGTTGCTCTTTGGGATCTTGGGCTTGACCTCTTTCGACTTTTTGAGGGCCTTGAGAGCCATATCATGTGTGCTTATGGCCTGGCATTGTCAGCCTGCATCTTCTTCAGGCCTTTCTTGTGCTTCTTGGCAAAGCACATGTTCCTCAAGAACTTGGGGTCCACCCCATTAAGGGATTTGTGTCTTTGTGATTGAGGTTTCTTGATTCTGTTTCTGTGCCATTTTTGGGACTGGTTGTGCCAGGTCTGGTTCCTAGATTTGGCCATATCTGCACTGAAGCCCGCGGCTCCCAAAGCGCCTGGGACTGGGGAGAGAAAGAGTGGGGCTATTTCTCAATATGTTGCTTCATTTGTTATATTGAAATTAGCAAGAGTAAAATATTTTAGAAATCTCGGGTTTCCTCTATTTCACTTTTTTGTTTGACATGTGATTTGATTGGAATCCCTAGTGTATATTTTTCATGCTTCTCAGTCTGTTTGCTATCTTCTATGATTTTTGTAGTTATCCTTTTTACTATGTATTTTGGAACTGGTTGAGTTATGAATAATACAGACATTTGTTTTAAGCTGTTTCAAATGGGAAAGAATAGGTTTTTGTTGTTGTTTTTTGTTAATCCTCACCTGAGGATATTTTTTTCCATTGAGTTTTAGAGAGAGTGGAAAAGGGGAGGGAAGGTGGAGAAACAGACAGAGAGAGAGAGAAACATCTATGTGAGAGAGACACATCGAAGTCAATTTTCCCAAATTCCCAAATATAGCAAGCTCCTCTAGTGCCTTGGTTTGCTGCCTTTAGGTTGTTTGAACACCTGGAGAAGGATGATATGACAGAGGGAAGGGACTAAAGGAAATATGCATGGCCAGTGGAGGAGGAAACGGTCTTTTTGCTTACACAGGAGTAAGAGATTTCTTTCTTCTCAAATGGATATTAGGGTCTTTGTTCTCTTAAATTATAGAAAATTAAGCCTGAACTCTGGGCTGTAGAATCAAACTCATTTTGGAAATCTTCCCTTTTGGCTTCATCAGACTCTTTATTGCCTAAAGGAAAAAATACATGATGCTTTTTGTTCATGTATTTAAAAAAAAATCATAGAGTGATCTGTTTGAAATTTTTTGCCAGGAAATTTGGTGTTGTAGAGAAAACATGAGCTTTGAAACTTGAAGCAAACCAGAATTAGCCTTTCGAGTTAG